TGAGAACAAACCAAGGAGATTAGATGTACTATGTAACAACAAAATAAACATAACTTAAGGAAATATAATGAAATAAACTCACTCAACGCACTCAGGAACAAAGGTGAAATGACAGAGAGGAAACCAGCTCAGCTGAAGGGCAAACAGAGAATGAGCTCAGGACACAGAACAAAGAACACTCAAGGCACCTGTGTGAGCTGCCCAGTCAGCACACCTGTTCTCCTGCTGCTCTTCAGTCCAGCAAAGACAATTAAAGAGAAAATGCAGTCATCCAATTTGCAAAATTGCCATTCAATTTTCAAAGACTTTCAAACACCCATATTTTCTTTCTTTCTTTCTTTCTTTCTTAACATAGTTATTCTGACTTTCATATTTCTACCTCAGACCTTCAGCTCTGTTCCTGATCCTCTCAGACCCCACAACTGGAAACGATCATGTCTCCTCTGACTCACTGTTTACATGTTGTGTCCATGAAGACCTCGTGGTGAAGCAGACACACATGTCAGCCTGATGATCTCTTCACTGTATGCTGTACTTTAAAGCCACTCATAATCCCTCTCTGCCATTCAATGCACTCTACATGTCTCCCTCTCCTTCCAACCTTTATTCATCCATTTCTCTCGCTTTAAGCCAAATGCACATTCATTCTCTTTTTCAGCCTCTCCTTTACTTTCAAAGCCCATCACAGGACATTACACTCTGAACTCAAAAGGCTAAATGAGGCTCCTTCAGCAGAGAGCACCCTCAGGCCTCGTCTGTCATTGGTGGAGAGGGAGTGGTCGTCCTCAGTTACATGGTCTGGTCGCAGGAAGTTCTGGCTTTGAACCAGAAGGATTTTAGCACTGGGAACAGGACACACCCTTTCCCACCATGCAGTGATGAACGCAGAGAATTATCACCTGAATCAACAGCTCCCCTCGATTTTATGGAGCCCAATGTACAGTGCCTGCTACACTCTAAACAGCAGTGTATTTTTTAGATTGTTGCACAGGAAGTAAGGATTAGAGTATTTCTTCCATCACTGCCATTTAGTCTGCTTTTTGCCATTCCAGGAAACAGAAAACACTGATGTATCACTGAGACAGAGCGACTGAACACAAATTAATCACTTTGCAACATTTTATTAAGTTCCAATTGTACATCTTTTGCAGATGTCTTGCCAGTATGTTGATTTGTAGTCTGACTAGCTTGGCTGAAGCTCTGCTCCTCTACTAAATCACAAGCACCAAACGACTTGTGTCATTTCTGCTTAGCAACAAGTTGAATTTTTTGCCTCTATCTCTTTTATTCTGGAAATTTTGTGATATTTATATTCTGCCCGGCACTGACTGGTGATGTGGAAGTCAACATTTGAGCATGGTGGATCTTTCTTGACAGTGGAGCCACTGTCAGTTACCACAGCCTCACAGAATGGCTGAAGAAGTCTTTTTTTACATTTATAGAGTAATCAATTAAAAAAAATGAAAATAATGAATAATAATGAAAATAATCATTAGTTGCATCCCCGTGTAGATAGGTCAGAACAGCTGTTGTGTTTCTTGCTCCATGCAGATGTTTCCTTTTTCTCGTCCTCTCTCTGGCTGCACTTGCAAGCATAACAAATAGCTTTCGTTCTTGCCTTGGAAGAAATTATATCCAATTGTTTCAGAGTGGTGTGCCTCTGATGAAGATGTCATGGGAGTTTACTCCTCTGCTACTGATGCTTGTTCATTATACAAACTGTTCCAGAGCAGCAGCAGAGCATGGTTTCAGGAGTGAATTCTGTATACTACTAAAAGCTTTTTCTTTTCTTTTCATCTTTTTCTGAGAATAGACACACACACACACACACACACACACACACACATACACACACAGATTCAGTCTTAAGAGAAGGTGAGAGGGAATGAAGAGCTCAGTCAGACACTTCTTCCTCACCCACAAAAAAAAGACAAAAAACATATTTTGTCTAATGCCTCAAGTGGTATCCAGCCTTACACATGGTTTTGAGAGATCTGTCACTGAGATATCTGCCTTCACCTAAGTACAATAGAAGTGGAGATGTTTCTTTATGGAATGAAAAAAAAAAAAATCACCAGCCACATCGTTTTCCAGAAGCAAGTGTCCTCTACTTGACATTTTTTTCCCCTTTTCAGGCCTTTAAGAACTAATCAAATGAAATAATAATATAAAAATATTACTGACTGATTGAACCAGTCGCAACTTGCAAACTGATGCCACTATTAATTGTTATATATATATTTTTTTACATCTAGCTAAACCAAAAGCAAATTCCCTTTAATTGTATAATAAAAGGATGTTTCGTGTGTTGTGTACGGTAATTTAGTTTAATTTATATGCATACATGTACGGGAGTGTATGCAGACTGGTAAGGCTCCTCTCTCCCTCTCTCTCTCTCACACACACACACACACACACACACACACACACACACACACACACACACACACACACACACACACACACACACACACACAGCTCATTCAATGTGCAAAATGTGACTTCAAGCAGGAAATGAGATAAAAGTCACACAAGCAAGCACAGAGTCATTTTTCCATCTATGGCCAAATTCTAACTGGACTGATATTATTTCCAGCTGTTTTAAAGCCAATACACACACTGAAGGGACAGCTGAAGGGCACCACCACCTGGCCGACAATGGTCACTGAGATTACGAGGCAAACAAATTCATGACAATTCACAGTAGAGGTGATCTGGCGGTGCCCAGTGGATTCACACTGCCATTACAACTCTGGAAAAAGTATCTGCGGATGCCTCAAAAGTAATGATCATATCACTGACTGCAAGGTTAACCAACCAATCATTTAATAAATGATTTTGCAATACAAAACATCTGTGCAAAAATGTTCAGACAAAATACAAAGACAAGGCCTCTCTTGGTCAAAAGGATATGAATGTAAACCTTTTGTGATGGGTACACTGTTATTGAAATATAAATTTGTTTGTATCTTGTTTTTTTTTTTGTTTTTGTTTTTTTGAAAAAAAAAATGGATCTAGAATAAAACAACAGAAAAGGTACAATGATGATTTGCTTTTGCCAAATACAAAAATACCTAGACTTGATTAAGATTCACAGTCTTGTGTACAAGTGGTTTTTGCACCATTATAGTAGTACACATACATCTTTTACATGTTGGAGGTTATGTGTACAAACTCAGATGCCTAGGTAGCTCAATCTGTTTCAGCGGGAAAAAAAAAAAAGATCCAGTATAGAGACAAGAGATAGAAATGAAATAGGAACTTGATGGAAAAATGTATTTAAAATGATTCAAATTATTTTGGCTTGGATTTAACATGAGGAACAGATGGAAACAAAAGCTTCTCCCTTCATATTGCTAATGGCAGAGCTTCTCCGTTGACGATCACATTTGATTTGGGTAAATGATCTCGGGGAAAACTAGAGCTCAGTCTGACTGATGTAAATCTGATTTATTTTCACGTTTAATTTGAGCAGCTGCTGTTTTAGTAGCCGTGACTTTAAGACTAGATGAACTAAATATCTACATTCAACAGACGTCCACTGAAAACTTGGCCATTCAACAATGCACTGTTTTTCTTTTTACTGTGCTTTATGCTTAGCACACCCACAGTGAAGTGTGTGCTTGATTAACAAATATAGCTGATTGGTAAAACAACAGTCTGTAAACAACAGCAGAGTGCAACATATACTCTTAGAAATTTGTGAAAGACCATAACCAATGATTGTCTTCTAATACACGGGAGCTGAGGGGGATTTCATAACAATAATCACAGACTCTTCTGTTACTGCAGCTTCTTCTATGACTTTTCTCAACAATAAAAGCTCCATATTTAGCATCATCATGAAATATTAGCAAGACAGATGCAACATCACTTGTGTGATTCCAGGACTGAGACTTTTTCCAAAACACAAACGCTTCTTCATATCACAAGAGGATTATCAGAGTAAATGCATCCAAACCATACGTGATTACATGCTACTGGACACTGGATATGTCAAAATATAAATACAGCTGTAGTTAGTTGAGACTCAAACAGAATAGGCTAATTTGATTTATCCTTTTTTTTTTTTTTTTTTTTTAAACTTTGCTCTTGTTGGGATCACCTTCAAGTTAGAACAGTTGGTGCTAGTGTTATAAAAACATCTCCATTTACTGATACAAAACCAGATAAAAGCAACATACATAAATCTCTCTGCACACTGGACTGCAACCTGTCCCCAGCTCATATAATTAGTTCTTTGCACAATGCAGATGCCGTAAAACAGGAAAGACAAAGGACAGAGATATGAAGACGAGCCCTGTGAATGAAATCTCTCATTTCCTTCAAAATTTAAACACTGAAGAAAAAAAAAAAAAAACAGAAAAAAAACTCTGCCATAAAAATTAAAATATCACGTCCAATCTACAATAAAAATGTTCTGTTCAGCCCTCAAGCGGTGAATGAAGTGTTTGCCCTGAGAGCGGTCCAGTTAAGCTGTTAGGTGTGAGGATGATGTGAGTGCTGTGTGATTTCATTTGCAGATGTGTAATTTGTTCTCTGCAGCAAGCTTTGAATTTAGATCTGCTGAGTTAGGGTGGAAGTTAGTGACAGTAAGGTAGAAGACAAAATGATGAAGGGAGCACAGAGAAAACTGAGATGCTCAAGTAGGCAGGTAAGACAGGGAAGTGAAGGGAGAGTGAAAGGCTGATGCGGAGTTTAATATTCAATCAAAAAATAGAAAAACAAAAACAAAGCAAAAAAAAAAAAAAAAAACTCCTTCCTTGTTTCTCAGCCTGGACAGCCTGCAGTATACTGAGGTTTCAAAAAAAAAAAGGCAAAGAGGCCTGCGTCCATGTTGCAATAGTCTCAGACAGTCATGTTGAGGTTGCACAAAAAACATTCAGGTGTCATTTCTGAAAGGATTTTGTGTGAGAACGAGTATTTTAATTCCAGCTGCTTCGATGGAGAGCTCTCATGTAACAATCTAAAATGCTGAAGTTGAGCTTCAGGGTCCAGCCTCAGGGCAGCGTACATCACCTGTACGCCCGGTGTACCTGTTGTGTTTGGGCAGGTCAGTGCTGTTTGTTCAGGCTGCTGTTCCTGTTCTTGCTCACTTGGCTGTCGCTTGCTAAATGCAGTTTCTTTTACCGTACAAGCAAATGCGTTTCAATGTCCAGAAACAAGCAGGTCACACCACTGCTGCAAGGCACCTAAAGGTCATGATATGAATATCAGTGTCTGCATGAAACTGTCCTTTGAGTTGTTGACGCAGGAACTTTTTGTCAGAATGTAATACATAGTAAGGACACAGGATGGACTTCCTACTTTTTCCACTTTAAAGTGTTTCTCCATAATAAAATGTTCTTTTGAATATATATCTTTGTATTTCATTCATTCAGGACGTATGTACCGTATTTACACAGAGGTTAAAATAATAACATTTTGAAACCATGGTAGTAAGTACACTTGCTTTAAACAATAAGGCAGTAAAAAGTCAAACAGCTGTGTATATACTTGTGTAGCTGCGACAGTGTTTCTTGCACACCAAGATGTGCTGCCTGTTTCTGTTCGGTCTCTGTATGACCAGAGTAGAATTATTAGACCAGGTCCCTGGGTGAGAGGCAAATCGTCTCATATTTGGGTCCCAAGAGGAAAGAGTGTGAGTATCCGTCTATCTATCTACAGGTCTGCGGTGATGACCGAGTCGTTGTACATCAGTACGTCAGAATCTGCAGCGAGCAGCGCTGATGTTTGTGATGCGTGGTCCAGCTGTCCCTTCTGGGAAACTTGTCCATACATCTGAGTTGGCCCTCCGCCGCTCCCCGGCATGATGCAGTGGGAAAGCAGCGGTGCGTTGGCGTCATGGTTGGAGCCTGTGGTGGAGGGTACGCCGCTGACGTGACCCGTGCTGGTGGAGCCGCTAGCGCTGCTGGGTGAGCGGCTTTTAGGGGGTGGCAGGTGGTGCTGGATTACCCTGGTGGGCGGAGCCGGGGGAGGGTAGTGGGCAGGGAAAGCTGCATATCCTGGTGGAATGGGGTATCCGTTGACGGGGATAAAGCGCTGATGGGTTTGGGGCACAGCCATGGGCGTCCAGGCAGGAATCTGAGCCATCTGGCCTGGCGTGGGAATAGCCTGGGCTGGGTAGAGGTACCCTGCTGCAGCAGCGGCAGCAGCGTAACGGGGGTTGCTCAGGTTGCTGACAGGGCTGGCACTGAGTGAGGTGGTCTGGGTGGTGGCGTTGCCTCCGCCCCCAGAGGGTGTGCTGGAACTGGCGTGCGATGACAGCCCCTCCCAGGCTCGCAGGCGGGCGTGGATGTCTTTGAACCTCGGTCTACGTCCTGGTCCCTCCTGCCAACACTCAGTCATCAAACCATAGAACCTGAGGGATAAAAGATTTAGATTCCTTATCATGTCTGGCCACTGTAGCATCAGTTAATTTAATTTAGATTAATTCAATAAACACATTTTAATACCTAAATCTCTCAGTAAAAACTGAAATCATATTTTTGGGATACTGTGAATGAATACTTGGTTATGTGACATATTCAGTCAAATTCTATAAAACTTTACTTATACTGAGAACAAGTATGTGTTTAACTGAGAAAATAGATAAGATTGCAATACACTGATCTAAAGTCTGATCCAAATCTCTGAATGTTGGTCATCCGGCGGTCCAGTGGTTGAGACGTATGTCACATAACTGCAGCATCCCTGGTTTGATTCTGTCTTAACCCTCTCTCTCCCTCCATGTTTCCTCCTCAAAGAGCCATTCCAAAAAATCACTGTAGGTAACTGTGTAGAGTAGTTCTGCTTTTTTCTTTTCTCAGTTTTTTGTCACTGACACCCCCAGCACAGCTAAATGTATATTTGTTGTTTTGCTCATGACATAAAAATGTCCAACTCAAAACAGAGAAGAAAAATGATGAACTCTATGGAACTCTATTTACCCCTCATATTGCATCAAGCAACTGTAACTTGAAGTTGTAATTTTTTTTCTGTTATGGGCCACATTTCAATTTTCAATCCACTTAGGCAATTTGTTAATTCTGTTACAAGTGTATCCTACATCTCATCAGCAAGCTATTTAATGTGAAGACAAAAGAGGAGACCTCGTGCTCACTGTGTCACACTGGCAATGAACCCAGGAAGCGTTCAGGTGCACTTGATGATAAAAAAAACTATAGTATGACAAATACAAGAACAGTCGTGCTCCTAAACTTGCCTGAACTTTTGAAATAACGTGACGATACAGTTTAAGTTCACTGGCTTTGTAACACAAAGTCAGGACACTAAGAAGTTTGATTAAACCACGTACAGTATGTTCTCTCTTACCGTCTCATGATTCACTGGACAGTTTATGTTGACCTGTAATATTAACATGAACACACCTTGGCGGGCAGTCCTCCGGGCACGGCAGCAGCTGCCTCTTCCTCACCATCTCCATCACTTCCTGGTTGGAGAAGCCGTAATAGGGCTGCAGGCCGTAACTGAAGATCTCCCACAGCACAACTCCGAACGACCAGATGTCTGAGTCTGTGGTGAACTTGCCGTAGGAGATGGCCTCGGGGGACATCCAGCGGATGGGCAGCAGGGTTTTGGGCTGGATGCAGTAGTAGTCTGAGGAGTAGATCTCTCTGGACAGACCCAGGTCAGAAATCTTAACGTGAAGCTGTTCGCCCACTAAAATGTTGCGAGCAGCGAGGTCTTTATGGATGTAGAAGTGACTGGCCAAGTACTCCATCCCAGAAGCCACCTAGATTAGATTAGATTAGTTAGAAAAAACAGTAACTGAAGCATTTATTAGATACGCAGTGAAAGGGTGCGTTCTTGTTGAACGGTCAAATAGGAGAAGATCCACTCATCAACTAAACTGCTTTCTAATCCCACCTGTATGGCCATGTGCAGGAAGTCTCCGTGATCCAGGCTGGATTTCACTGTGCCGTCCTCATCGCTGCTGCAGCCGACGTCAGAGTGCGGCGAACGCATGATGAGGAACTCATGGAGGTCACCTTGAGGAAGAAACTCAAACAGCATGCAGACGGGCTGCTCCTGGGTCACCACACCCAGCAGGCACACCACGTTCGGGTGCTGCAGCTCTGTCAGCACTGCAGCCTCCTGTGTTGGAAACCACATTAGTTAATGGTGATTTTTGCGAGAAAAAAAAAGAAAGCGGCCCAAACAAAGATTAGTCAGGAAAAAAAGGCTCAAAACTTTGAAGTGATGCTCCATTTGATTTTATTTTTTGGAGTATGAAGTATTGTGGCCTTGAAAGATGGCTGTGAAAGGTTTGTATTTGTATTTGCTTCATAGCGGATCTATTGCAGCTCACTCTACTTTTTACAGCCACATTTCAACACTACTGTGGTGAGAGTTTCATACTGAAAAAGTCCGATTTTGGGTGTAGTGTTGCTTTAAATGCCGGCAGTTTAGGTCTGCGTCGCCAGTGGAAAGTGAGGATTATGTTTTACACAAGTCATCTGTTTCAGTCCTCCTTAACGTCTAAATTTATCTGGACAACCTGCCGGTAGTTACAGTATATTTTTGGAACTATTTCAAGTGAATTCATCGGCTGTTCAGTGATTTTTAACCATATGCAGTCTCTCATCGCCCACCACATTTACCTTCTGTGGAAATATAACAAGTCATGCTTCAAGTCTTGTGGGAAGAGCAATCTTTCCACTGGGAAAGAAGTCCCTTGTAGTTTCAAACAGCAGTATTTTAGTATCACATTTCATTTTACAAGTCCACACACAACTGCCCGTTAGCATGTCTTTTAAAATGACTCAGAGCTGTTGTATAGATTATATGGATTGTTGTTTTTTTTTAAATCTTTTTTGATATAATCCTTGTTGCATACAAGTATTTCTTTAAATTATGCAAAACTGGGAGAAGTAAACTTAAAGCTTTGGTGGCAGTGATCCATTCTGTACCTGCTGGAAGTCGCCCCAATGCTGGGCACTGGAGAGATCCTTCAGGGTCTTTATGGCCACAAGCTGTGCCTGATCCATGCCAGGTAGATACAGGTGACCCTTGTAGATCTTCCCTAAAGTGCACTCTCCAAGCTCCTCCATGAAACGCACAGCGGACAAAGGCAGCTCTTTGGCCTTACTCTGTGGGGAGAGAAAGAGAAGAGGGGAAGGAAAAGGGAGGAGGAATGAGATCAGTGGGTAGAAGAGATGTGACAGAAAAATTAGATCATTATTTACTTTGTTAGACCAGCACTTTCTCCTCACCATTATCCTCGTATGGAAAAGTGAAATGTTGACATGACGTTTACATTGCTGCTTCTAATTCAATGCAGGCAAAGTGCCTGATATAACACCAAATATGCGTCTGAGCTTGTGTTTTAATGTCAGTGCATGTGTGTGTAAAAAAAAAAAAAAGAAAAAAAAGTATAGCCCTGAGAGTTGATAATTGTCATAATCAGACTCAATCCATTACATCAGCTCATAATGACTCCCTTTAAGCCTTTGGAAAGCAATGTGGGAAAATCATGAAATCTGGCAGCTTAAAAATGTTATTTATCTGACAGGTTAGCAGCGTTTAGGAAGACTAAGCATTTAATTCTCTTTCCAGTAAAACTGTAGAATCAGCTGCAGAAATAACAGAAAGAGCTTTAGCTTTCTTTGTGAGGGATGGCAATGCCTTCTTAGTCTTCCATGCCCACACTGAGAAGGACTCAGACTGGAGGTTTATTTGTACAGTTAAATCCAACAAGGGTGAAATGAACTGTGGGGTTTTAACACAGCAAGAAACCTTCATAATTGAGCTGGAGTTAATAAAATCTAGTTCTTAATAAAAATGATGAGAGAGAGAGAGGGGAAGGGAACGAGAGACAATAGTGTTTCAGTGGGTTACCATTTCATAGAAACATCATGTAAACAATAACGATTTGTGTGCCCCGAGATTAAAGGGTAAATCTGTTGATATTCTGTATTTTTCTTAATGTCAACAAGACTCCATTGTTGTCGAGAAACTATAAAAAAAAAGCACAGCACTGTTGCACTGAGCTCATTCATTACGATGAGCATGAGTCCTGTAGTTTATTTTCAGTGAATCCCACTAGTTCTGCTGTTATAAATAGTTCATCAAACATGTATTAACCTGTAGCTGAAAACACTACCTCTCCTGTTTGAGTGATGTTTGCTGAAAACTAAAGTGTCCAGTTGTCTTAGAGCACTTTAAAAAAAAAAAAAAAAATCAAACAATATATTTTGTAACCTGTTTTTACAGATTTACATAGGAACAAATGGGTTTCCTATGGGAAGTAGAGAAGTTGGAAACTATTGAGAGACGGGCTGTCACATTGTTGTTTTGTTGTTTACATGGGACTTGTTGACAAGTTAGACCAAAGATAATTTTCGGGTTGCATTATTGTAATTTTTTGCTGAGCCATTTCTAACAACCGCAGTGCCACAGATTCAAAACTAGAGTAGATACTTAAAACATGAATTGTTATTTGTTTAAAGAACTGCACAACTACGAGAGACATAATCAGAGACATGATTGTGTGCATGTTTGTTTATGAGTGTGTGCGGGAGTCCTTTGTCCCTTTTGGTTTTGTTGTGTATCCTTGGTGACTCCAGCTAAACTCATATCTAAGAGCTATCCAGGTGATCTCAGAAACAGTGGGAGTGGGAATGTGTGTGTGTGTGTGTGTGTGTGTGTGTGTAGCTGTACTTGGGAGAAGATAAAAGGTGAGGAGAGGTTGGCAGAGATTTTCAGATTCCAGGAACTCAGAGATGAATAATGAAATTCCTCGGTGAGCAGGACACACACACAAACACACACACACACACACACACACACACACACACACACACACACACACACACACACACACACACACACACACAGGCCTCTATGAGCTCTGTGGGGGGTGGTGTGTGTGTTTCTGATGTGTGTCAGATTGTGTGTATCAGAGGAGTGTGGGGCCTGCTGATGTTATGAGAAACACAGATGTTTTTAGTTATGGGTTTGTTTCACCCCTTCTTTCCTCCCCACACCCAAACCCTCAGATCCTCCTCACACCGCCGCAGGTTTGTGTGTGCGTGCGTGCACGTATGTTTATGTGTGTCTAAATGGATTGTCACAGGCAAGTGACCCCTGGGTGACCCTGCGGCAAAGCCTGCTGGGTAGCAGCCTAACCCTAACCCAACACAAAGGTGTAGAGAAAAAGGGTTGAGAAGAAGGAGACTCACCATGGCAATATTATACACAAATTAATGTAGAATATGAGGATTTACCACTCATCAAAAAGTTTTGAAAAGGTAGAAATGGAAACTGTCTTGTAGGTTACAGTAGTTAGGAAAAACAGCAGATAGCTGCACTTCTGTAAAAGCTTTGTTTTTTGCTTTTTAAGTCTTACAATGGCTGGTTATGTGGTCTGACATGTGTGAACCATATCACAAGACCTTGTTGTTCAGAACGACCGTTTGAAATCAACTGTATAATTCCGCAACTGCAAAACTTTCTTTGATGTAGCGTAAAACTTGACTCTGTGCAGATGCAAGGTCGCCATCTAAACACAGCGAGGGAAAGATTCCCTTTTTAGGTCAGTGAAACATTTGTTCCATTCCAAAAAAACAAAATAAACCAGAGATATTAATGGCTTCTGACGCTTCTGTGACATTTCGCAGTTCTCTCTACAACTGTTGATGGTAATGTCATGCACATTACCTTGAGCATCGGCTCTGGTTTTGCACAAGCAGACACACTGTCTACAGAACCACACCACCCACCACCACCAAAATTATGTGGAAAAAGATAAACAGACATGATATGACTGAATGTGCAACCTTGAAAGAAATATGATACAGATCCTAATGTGAGCGATGTGGTGGCTAATCTACATTACAAAGAGATTCTGTGAGAGAGGGAGGGGAGGTAGGAGAGATTGAAGGATGAAAAGGAGTTCCTGAGGTAAAGAGATGGAGGGAGAGAAGTTAAAAAAAAAAAAAAAGGAGACAGTTGGAGAGAAATAAACAGAGAGGAGAGCTGCAGTTGAACACTCCTGGACCTGCTGAGCTCTGATGATAGAGATCTGAAGTTCTGGCTGGGACAGGTCATTTCCACACACACACACACACACACACACATACAAACACTCAACCCAGTAACCCCAGCATGCTGCGACGTATCTCAGTTGACACACAGAGGGCTGTGCCAGTGTTTTGACTCCTTCCTCAGTCTGCTCTTATGACTAAAAAATACCAAGACAGCAGAACAGTGCTGTGCATTTTGAGAAAGCACAAGAAGAGTCCAAAATGTTGTGCGAGTATACACTCAGCTGCTAGTTTATTAGTTACATCTAGATAAAACTAATGCAGTCTAATTCTACAGTCCTGCAATAAATCCTGCTTTCACGAAGTTCATCAATGTGGTTTTTTTTTTATCATTTTATCCAATCCATTCATAGGCTCAGTAAGACACACAGAGAACCTTCATCATTTACTTTCCCTCCACACAAAGTGTCATTTGCTGCGACCGTGCTGCTCTCTACCTTCGGCTTGTATGCAGTTGCGAGCATGGACATCTCAACGTTTTGTCCTCGGACAGGTTTGGGCTGGCGGGGGGCAGGAGGCCTGGAGGACTTCTGGTTGTTGCGGCACACACAAATGAAGAAGAACAGCAAGGCAATGGCTAATGGTATAGCCACACTGGGAACCAGGATGTACAAGATCTCCATGTTGCTGCCGCCAGATTTGTCTTTATGGTCTACGGGGATGGATGGAGAGAGAGGATTAATATCAGATCTACAGATTATTGCATGAGTATGAATTGCAAAAACAGTACAGACTTAAACATATTGTGGTCTCTCACCACAGATGGGTATGTCACAGAGCTCCAGTGGGACCCCCTCATCCAGCGTGAAGCACCACGGGGCCTCAAGTTTGTTCCCTGGGTTGCGGCAGTACGAGTGTCCCCCGTTCAGCTCTGGATAGCGGACGGCCAGGTAGGGGTGGGTGTGAGGATACTGTGAGTTCCACGGCTGACACTGACGCCCCGACTTTGTCTTACTGACTGTCCCGCGGTAGTCTGACCCGCTGTTGTTGTAACACTTGTGATCTGGGAAGCAAGGACGAGGTTGTGTGTTACTTGATTGTGTGTTGGGTTCGTTCTTTTTGGCTGACTGGTGGTGGTGGATGCGGCTTATGACTGAACTCAAGATACCCATGTGTATTTAGCGCTCATGTGTAGCAGCATTGACGGATGTCTTTGGTGAGCTGCTGGTGGACAGACAGAAAGTCTACACATTTGTTTAATGGCTTCCAAAAATCATTACAAACCACTTTGCAGGAATATCATATAATATTCAGAGGGAAATAATGCGATACCTCGAGTATCACGAGAGGGATACTGTAAATTTTTGCATTAAAATAACATATTCTGCAGTTAAATTTGATGTCTACAAATATAAATAGCATATTGTAGCATAATGAGAACTTGCAACTGAGGAGAGATTTCTTCTGAGTTTGACTAGAGTTGTGAGGATTACCTGATTGATTTATTAGTTTATTAAAAAAAATAAAAATAAAAAATTATTACTTTGATAGTAATCATTTTTCAAGCAAAAATGCCAAAAGTCTTCCGGTTGGAGTTCATCAAATTCTTTGTTAAAGATGATAGTAAATGAAATTTCTTTGGACTAAATGATCAAATAACTTATCTGAGAAAACAAAGGGCAGAGTGATTGACGATGACAATAAAATTGTTAATTTCTGCACTATGTTTAACCATAGGTGGCCCATAAAGTTAATTCTCATATATATAATAATGAGCAGCATTAGCAGTAGTAATAAAGGAAGTCATTAAATCAGCAGGTGAACTAGTCTTACTCTTGTTAATGGGCTCGGCCATGGGGATTCCTATCCTCAGACAGTTCGCGGCCTCAGGACTGTCGGGGGCGGCGAGGTCGTCACAGTTGGGCAGCTTCAGTCTCTTCAGGATTAAAGGGTTTGACCGGGCAATGATGTACTCCGTTTTACACAAGTCGTTCTCCAGGATCTCACACTCGTCCTTACACAGGTCCCGGGGTTTGTCGGTTCCCGAGCTGCGGTCGCATGTCGGGAAGGCAAAGTGGCAGAGAGAAGGGATGGCAAACTGGGAGCAACGGTCGGACAGATGGTTGGACGTCCCAATCATGGTGAAGGCCGCTGAGAACGAGGCACGCAAAGGTGGGATTAGAACAGATAAAGGCCCATGAAGATTCTTTCATCAATACAGTTTGGCCTCAAAAATTCATCAATAAATTTAGCATCTAGATGAATATTAAGGTTTTTAAGAGATAAATACTGAATAAAAATGAATTATTTCAGATATTCTTTTAATTCATTGTTTCTTCATGTGGGATAAAAGAGGGAAACTGACAATCGAAGCTGAAGCTTCAAATGTTTGATTAATGGTCACACTGCATGTTTATTGCAAACATATGCTTTTCTGGTGGTCATTGTGAGTCAGGCAGATCTGCTGCGGCTGGAGGAGAAGATAAACAATTAAAAAGTAAAGTTGGCTCTAATCCAAATGCTTCTACACTGCATCTTTATAATAATAGAGATCAGTAAAGGTGACATTAAATTTTAGACGGTGAATGGCTACCAAATGTGGATTTTCTGGATATGAAATGAATGATTTACAGTTCCACAGTAGGCTTATTACAGCTCTGTGGCATCATAAATCTTAATTATCACTTCTCCTTGATGTTTCACATTACAGTCTGAGTTCATGGCCCCTTTGTCCCTGAACTGTTCGGGGGAAAAGCTGACGGCTGCACGGATGTAATCAATAACACGCACATTAATCTGACCTCTGAGGACATGCACATGCAAACACACAAAACAAAAACGCAGACGCAGAGACACGGACAAGTAGAACAGTATGAAACAGTTTGTGGGCCATGTGCGCTCCATACAGTGGTGACCCCGCTGAACTTCCTTTGAACTCCATAAATGATGTTCTGCTTTCTTCCTACTGCATTTTAATTAAGGTTTACCTTCTTAATGGTCTTTATTTGCTGAGGGTTGTCACTGATTTAAGGGATGAAGATTTACAAAGGTGCTCTATCGGCACTGGCTGCTGAAGACATATGTGAGCAGAGATTTCAAGTCAGGAAAGAACTGCTAAATCCTACTGAACTCACTGGATGAAAGCAGGCTGTCGACTTTTCCTGTCAGACACAAAACTCCTGAGAGGGAACGACTAGTTTGTCCTTAAAAATAATGTAAGGCTTTGTTGATCTGGCAACATTCAGTGTGGATGGATCATCATCAAAGTCTGACGCGTCAGAAAAAACAAAATGATACAGAATCTGTCCAGTGAAAAGTCTGAAAGAAATGCCAATGTGCTGCAGAAGAAGATGTATGTTATGAATGAATGCCATCTCACTTCACATGCAGGAACAGATTTGGACCAATCTCAAGACTCTCAAGCAGAGGGACAAATTGCAGTGAGGTGTGTGAAACCCACGGAAAAAACATTTCCTCTTTCTCACCTGTAATCTGAGTCTCGATCTCGCCCTGCATCTGCAAAGAATCAACGAAGATGCTGCGGTTACCGATGAAGCGGGCGCAGGCTATGCCTCTGTACGGTTGGCAGAATCCCTCTTCATCAAATTCCTCCCTGTGACGTACAGAAGCACAGAAAGGGGAAAAGAGAGGTGGAATATTTAGTGAGTAATAAGTTAGTTTTAATTTGGCTGAACAATATTAGCTTATCCCTCGGCTACATTTATAGTTTAGGAGAGTTAAAAAAGACCAGATACGCAAATACGCTGCAATACACAGAAGCACCACTAGATGTCAGTCTCTCTTTGTATATCACACAGAACCATCTGGTTGCACTTCTGTGGAGAGAATAGCCGTTTCTCGTTGTGGGTACTATAACAAGAGGTCTCCCTTTGCTTGGCTAAAGATAAATCACACTCAAGTAAAAGGCAGAGATCTAAAATCCAAACACCCACACACACACACACACACACACACACACCCCAGTTCACAGTACAGATGTAAACCGCGTTAAGAATTAATGTTTGGCTGTTTGACTTTATTCCTGTTTATGGCACAGAGATGTCATCATGAGCCATAATTTGAAACATATGGACAAAGAGAGAGAGAGAATCGGTTGATGATCACGTTTGCACAACTATACAACTTTTACCTCCTTCAGTGACTCTTGATTTCACACATTTTCTGATTTGAAATCCCAGGTTACGTTATTCGGTGTTCATGCTGTTCTTTTTTTAATCCATTTATCTCACTCCCTCTTTCTTGTTCTGCCTCGATCTCTCACCTCTCCAATTCTGAATACACACGCACGCACGCACGCACGCACACACGCACGCACACAAACCACATGCTGACTAGCAGGCTATTTGCTCAGTGTGAGATCACTGTGTCATGTGCTTTAAGTTGTGCCATATGAGTACTGTAAGACCAGGCACAACCACAATATATAGGGGAGTGCATGGTGCCACTACACACGGACACACACAGACACAGACCCACACAACCGAGCACAAAAGAACCATACTGTAGCTACTGGCCGAATGAAAGTACATCCTCGTGCTTCAGACACCGCTGCTCGTGTAATAACAAACAGAGGCGCTCCATTACGAACTGACAAGACTGTGAATTCTTTGGAAATACTTCAAAACATAATTATAAAATGGATAGGTGCAGTCTTTAGCTCTGATTCGCAGATAAATAATGAGAAAAACACTCGCTAAGAATCAGCCTTTCTACTCTGAAAGAGCTCTGTTTTAAATAACAACACAGTGACTGATGTTTCATGGCTTCATGTTGATTTAACAAACAGTACATTTTCTACTTTGATTCTATAATAAACTTTTGCTCCCTCTTTCTGAAAACAACAGCAGCAGCACAATGCTTCACTTCAAATTGTGCCTGACAGTAAAATAGAGCGTCTTGTGGCTTAACGCTTCATTATCACCAGTACATTTCCTGCTGCCTTTGTTGACATGAGTCAGGGAGTTTACAGGGGACGTGTGTGACAATGTGTGAATTACACTAATTACTCCACAAACTGCAAACCTGCAATAAAATGCTTTAAAGATGCACCTGAAAACAAGGTGACAATAGTATAGGCATGCACACACAAATGCATGAGCATACACACATACAACTTTAGTAATGCCAAAGGTGTGTAAGCACGGTGTGAGTTCAGGGTCATTAGGTTCCCGCTCTCTGAGGAGTGTTAAGTGACTGAAAGGCCAAGGTCAGATCTCTGACTCTACCTCTGTCTGTACAGATTTAAATGAGCTTTCCAGACATGGACACACACAAACACACACACACACACACACACACACACACCCACACGCACACACACACACACACACACACACACACCCACACGCACACACACACACACACACACACACACACCCACACGCACACACACACACACACACACACACACACCCACACGCACACACACACACACACACACACACACACATACACACAAACACACACACACAGTGGTCTGCATACTGCCAATTCCACAGAGATATGGTAACATAACATTTACAGCTTAATACAGGTTTAAGCAGATTTTATCCTGGGAATATGTAATTTCCTACTAAAATGCGGATATCAGTAATAATGAGTTCATGTTGTGGTGTGCCTGCAGATGGCTTAGCACCCCCTTCATCAAACCACAAACTGCTACATCTTCAGATATTTTTCCTTTTGGTGGAGGCTTCTTCTCTTTAGGTGAAAATCATGTCTGGCATTAAATCTGTAAGAGGAGAGTCTCTGTGTAAAAAAAAAACTTACCAGTGTGAGAAGTACTCGAATGATGTAAGGGATCGCTGATTGATTGGGCTTCCAACATTCTGAATGTAATGAAGCAGAATACGAGAATGCAGCTAGGGCATGAGAAAACGCACACAGAGGATAAAGAGCGAGGGCTGGAGTGTGTCCAGGCAGCCGAGAGGTTAGCTTGGTTGTGCGTCACTGAAGACGGTGGACACACACACATCCACACTAACGTCAAGCCACACACAGACAAGTAAATGACAAGGGAGAGCAGACGATCCACCACAATGCAGCCAGATCCCCGCGGGCAAATTACAGCTCAGGCAGGTCCAAACGGCCTCGACCGAACCAGCTCAGTCAAAATCACAAATCGCCCCTCACTGCTTTCTGTATTTGAATTTCTTTCACTTTTCTCCAAGTGCAGTTAGATTGAAAGCTGTGTCTGAGAGGCATATTAAAGTGGCTGTATCCTGACCAGTATGGCGTAAATGACTTATAACATGTTTAAAGAGAGAACTTGGTAGGAAAGACGCATCTACAAAAACCTAATCACTCTGAGACATCTGAGGTTTTCTGAAAATCTTTCCCTAGTATCCATTTATTTCTGTGTGTTTGTATAAGCTATCCCAGGCAAGGAAAGCCAAGTGCGGTTGCTATTTGTGTAAACAGTGGATGGCTGTTTAGGCCTTTTATTTTACACACCAACGCCACGGGCCCTCTGTGTAATGTTTTATAATATTTAATTACAAGGAGAGGCTTTTCCGTCTGAGACCCAATCTATAATCCAGAGCTAAACAGAAAGGCGAGCCCGACCACAGAACCTAAACAATGTATTCAGGACACTGATTCATTGTCCAATTACATTTTTTCCAACCTCATTATTTATTCAGGGAAGCGCTTGGTTTCCAGCACCACTCTGATTCAAATCCATATGGTTACATACATTTACACCTGAGTGGTGCCAATAAGAACAGGGAAGTTTAACAAGCAGTTTAAAACTGTGCATCTACGCAGAGTTGCAATGTTTGTTTGTTTTTTAATCAAATCAAGTTTTTTTTGTCAAATCAAGTGGAAAAGGTTCCTTAGAGAATAGTATGTAAAATGTATGGATTAGCTGAAGATAAGAAATGTAGCCAGAAAATATTATATAAAGCTAAATTGGCAACATATCTGCAAGGCAGCAACAGGATACAATATACTTGCTTTCTAATGTGCACACACAGACACAACAGCACAATTACAGACACACTCCCCTGACCTCAGAGACGAAGGTTTTGCGGGTGATGACCAATGACAAATGAACCATTAACAGGAAAGAGAAAGTTTTTCAGGTTGAGGAGGTTGAATATTCAGCCCACAAAACACGGATGATTCATTCAGAGTCGACTCCACACTTAATCATCCTCGGAGAGAAGTTCAATTTGGCATCAAAGACAAAACAACTGGATTCTTTTAAAACTCATAATCGATCAAAATGTCAGGACCCGCCAACACCCCCACCCTGAATCTCTCCTGCAAAGATGACTCTTGATTTTTTCCACAAAGATTGTCACACAGCACAGCACTGAAAACTGCTAGATAAAAAGTAAATGGAGAAAACGGCAAAGTACCTTCAACGAAGACGACGGAAGAAAAGAGAAAGAAAGACACTAATTGATTGATCAGCTGTCTTTGTTTTGATGACTGATCAATCAATGCCATAGCAACATCTCTTTGGCAAAGCTAGTGATGTGTGAGTTTATGCTGGAGTCTGTGTGATCTATCCAAACCCTGCAGCTGGACTAGAAAATCTATTTTTTTCCAGCATTGTGAAATATCAAAGTATAGGCCTACATGTGAGAATGACTACACAGACTTCCGAGCATGGGAGTATTCCTTAAAATACCTTCCAAAAACACCTTGGAAAGTGTGTGACATTCCTACTGTAGCACATCTTCTGTTTATTACAGAATAAGCAAACCCCGTAGTTGGGTCTGTGCTTTGGTTTTATGTTTTGATGATGGAGGAAATCTTTAGGCAACAAGCTGTGGGCTGGAATGACGGGTTTGCGTTGAATTTTGGGGTTAAGAGGATGTGAAACTTAACACTCTTTGTCGGAGGGGATTCGGAGAGGATGCAATTTGAGGGTGAGGGGATGAGGGGCGGAGCCCAATGACATTTTAGATTTCAGGGTTTCGTTTCTAGGAGTCACTGCGGGTGTTGAGTGAAGAGGAGATGAGCTGCATGAGGTCGCAGCTGTTGTATCCTGATTGGGGATGCCCCTCAGCTTGTGCCATATGTGTGTGTGTGTGTGTGTGTGTGTGTGTGTGTGTGTGTGTGTGTGTGTGTGTGTGTGTGTTTTTAAAGATATATTGAGCCAAAATGTCTTCCCAGCTCCCTGGTGATGTTTTGAAAATACACATCTTTGAATTGTGGTGACTTATGAAACAATGATAAGCTATTACAAAAATTGTGGATTTGATGACACAATTCAACAACTTCAATTAAATCAAGAAGTGTGTTTTTAGCATAGCTCAATTTTTAGGTCCTGAAATAAAAAAGAATTCCTTTTTAACATCTGGTCAGTAACAACAGATGAAAATGATCTTCCTGGACAAACACCGTTTCTTCTTTCTTCTTTTTTTTTTATCGCAGTTTCTGGTTGATCCATCACAGTGAGCATCAAGTCTGTATCTATTTTGGTAAAATTTGCATTATTTATGTATATTAGTGAAGTTTGAGTGTTGATTGATTTGAAAAGTGTAAACGGTCATCAGTCTGTACTTAAGATGCTTGACCACACAGCAATAATGTAACATTGACAAAATGAAGCCTTGAAATTCACTGGGATATATTGTACAA